TCCAAAACCTACAGAAAAATGACATTTTTCCCTATCAAAAAAAAATTCATTGAACTATTGCTGAGTTCTAGGCATTTATTGAAAGATGAAAGGGCAGTCTCTATTCTCAAGATGTTTACAGTCTAGTAGGAAGGTAAAAAATCATACATGAAAAAGAAGGTGGTTAAGTGTCTTCAAAAGAGAGGGTTAGAATCTGGCTTAATGAAGGGAAACAAGACTGTGGCATCAGAGAGGCCATCAGTCTTAAAACGCACCTGGAATTAAATTTGGAAGACAAATGCGTGGCAAATGCCTATGATTCTAGGCCACTGCACAGTTTCCATGGCTGCAACCTTCCTTTTTTATCTAGGATGATAATAATAATACTAACGACCTTTCTCAGGTGCTTATTATGCATCAGGCACTGCACTGAGCACTGAGCATCCCCCACCTCATGTCATCATTAGAACCACCCGAGGTGGATATATTCTTATCATCCTATTTTACAGCTGAGGAAATTAAGGCCTTAAGAGGTTAAGAAACGCATCCAAAGTCAAGCAGCTGGAAAAAGTTGGAGATGAGATATAAACCCAGCTTGTATTTAAAAATTTAAATGTTGTAGAAATCTATAAACAATTACTGCTTCCAAAAGTGAAAACCTCCCCACAGATTCTGGGGAAATGCTCAATTGTCCTGTTGAACAATCCAAGTTCTGGTGGCATCTCTCTCTCTCTCTCTCTCTCTCCCTCTTTTTTCTCTGATGCCAGGCTCTTAGACTCTGAAGCTCTTGGAAGGGGCTGAGACTAAGGATTCCAAGCAGGAAAAAGGCAAGATTAGGATTAAAAAAAAATCAGCATCACACATCTCAGAATTCTGGAGAACCAAGTGGAAGTCCCCTGGGCCAAACATATCTGAAATGGTCTCTAAATCAAATGTCTTGGCCTTCATCTCCATCCTAAGCCCCTCTGGAGTTCAGAGATTTTCCCCGCCCTCACAGTTATGTGTAACTAGAAAGCGATTAGTCTGTGTCCATTTGCCAGTGGTTCTTCAACTTCCCTTCAGTGTCTCAATGCATCATAAGCTGTTAGTCCTGAGAGAGGCTTTAGCGATTAGTCCAATCCCTTCCATTTGTACATTACACATTAACAGTGGATGGAAGAGCTCCTAGGATGTTTTCTCTTGTTTTAGTAAAAAATCATCTTCCCACCAAACACAATGTGAAAGTTACTTTGATTGCAAAACAGAAAAGAATCTTACAACCATTTTGTGTGTACACTGAGTATTTATGGAATCTCATCTTTCCTATGTTGATCCATTTGCGGTATCCCCTTTTGTGGCAGAGGCCTATGGATGGTTGAGGGTGTAGCGGGCAGAGCAATGCATTTCTCCAGTGCTGAGAGGAGAGTCTGCTGCTGCTGGCCTGCTCTCTGCTTTTTGAACTGGCACACCCAGTGGCTCTGCCATGTTCAAGGCCAGCAGCCATCCATTTGTCTGCCAGGCTCCTTCTTGGCCTTACCCACTGGCAGTCAGAGCTAAGCTGATCTTTCTGCCTGCTGGCTGCTTATCTGGGACGTATGATTTGTGGAGGAGGGCCTGCCAGAAGGGAGCCAAGTCTTCCCTTCTCCGACCCCCTACAGGTGAGGCGAGCAGCACTGACATGCCAGGTCTGCTCCAGAATCTTAGGTCCTTATTCTCCATTTGGAACTGCAAACACCTGTGCTCTGTGGCTAGCATTGGGCAGTGAGCAGGGAACAGGCAGGGGAACGCCTGCAGAAAGTAGAAGAGGTCACTGTTCTTCTGCCCCCGTTGTGAGGAGCTGGCCAGACCCACTCACCCACATTGCCCACCCTCTTCCAGGACCCTCAAGCCACCTATTCAGGCCATATCCTGGGCTCCACCTTCCCCTCCATCCTTTTTTAGGAACCAAACCCCTGGTTTAGAGGGCCTGGTAGGTTCCCATAGCAATGGGCCTTTTAGCTGTTTCCATGGCAACCAACACCCAGACCATTTAGTTGCTAGTCAACTGACAGCTGTAAGTGAATCCCATTCAGTTTAGAATCTAGGGATAGGCTGAGGGATTCTCTTCAGAAAAAGACACAACCACCCAAAATGACTCAGATCCTTTAAAGACTTTCAGGCAACATCTGTGGAGATCCAGAGCCACTTTCTACCTTGGGTCACACAAGCCTGTCTCCCCCACGACCCCATTCCCAACACACACACACACACACCCTCAACTGACTGTCCCAGGCCTTTAAATAAGGCGTACCCCAACCTCTATTTCCTGTTCTGTCTCTTCCTTGGGGAAAACACTTGTTTAATGTGTCTCTCACTTTGGGGACTTTCCTACACATAACTCCTTTTTCTGTGTTAATGCTTTCCCTATGTACTGTGACCCTGTCCTTGTACCGACCCAGTCATTTAACCCTTGCTTTTTGCAGTAACTGAAGTGAATGGCTCATCCTAGGTCATCTTCTCTTAGTTGACCTCACCTATTTCAAGTCACCCTTCCTATGTCTGGAGGGTGTTCTCAGAGAACAAGCTGTTCTTATCAACCTTTCCAAAGCATAATCAAGATCACTGTTTCTTTCCTGAAAGATTTTGTGTTAAAAACAAAAAACATCCTATTCCTTTTAAAGAAAAGTCAACTAAGATTTTAAAACTAAATATGCAGGATTTAAAATTACTCCGTGCTTGTTGCTTTTTATTAGTATGAAGATTTGACTGAATGCCAGACTTCACATTTAACTGAACTGCAGATATGAAGGGTTGGGTTCCCTTTATTCTATAAGCAGGGGTGCCCCCTCATTATTTTAACAATTGAAGTCTGGGATTTATTTGTCCTGGAACTCATGTGAGAGCTGGGTCTGAGCCTCCAAGGCCTGCTCCGTGGACTAGAAAAGCATGAGACTGTCATTGGAAAGAGGATGACCTTTTTGATATACCTAAGATTCAGTGCTTCTCAATGTTTTAGTGACTCAGGGGGGCGTCTGTGAACTGTCTGTAGAAGACGACCTTTCAAACTTAATCCCCCCGAGGGAGCCCTACCTAGCTCATGGCTGCAGGCTCCATGTAGCCTCGAGATGGCTGGCAAACAGTCACAAGCTGTTGTCTTCCCCTTTTGCTCTGACAGAAGGATATATGCTAGCTGAAATGCTTTTTAATTTCAATTTCCAAAATATCTATGTATACTCTTTGTCTTTAGTGCGTCCCCACCCTTTTCATTATCACTCCTTAAAGGAGCTTTTGTAGACCTTTTAATCCTAATCAACAACCCCATCAAATTTTAATACCACATATATAATATGTATCTGTTTATGCATTATGTCTACTCCTGCTTTACACATAAAAAGAATAAGATTTTGTCCCTAAGAACAAATTTTCACAAAGAATGCATGGTATAAATAATGAAAGATATATGGTATTAAAACATTGTTTTATATTTGAAGAAAAAGTGGAGGAAAGAAAAATATAATTTTAGATTTTTCTATGACTTAGATATGTGAAGTATTTCCGAAGTAGTTTAACACTCAACTAGTCAGTTGTATCAAATTAATTTTCCCTGAAGTAGGCACTGTTCCTAGCTACAGGCAAGTACTCATTTTGCACGGTAGTGTGGGTCCTGTCTTCTTTTAACATGAGGGCAGAGGAGTATACAGACAGGGCAGGTAGCTGTTAACTTCAAAGGAGCTACATGGCATTAGAAATCTTCTGGGAATAGGGAGACGGTGGACACATGATAATTGAGCTTTTCTAGGCCTCTCAGAAAGTTCCTGTGCACAGAGGATAGCCTCGTCCTTCTGAGGAGACATCATCACATCTCAGATTGTACCTTCTGATTTTCCTGCTATTTTTAGACAAAGAACAATGTCTGTGTCCTAGAGCGACAGCTAACATTTAGAGTATATACTATATGCCAGGGTCATTCTAAGTGTGTTACATGCTTCATCTCATTTAGTCTTCACAGCCCTATTATTAGTAGTCCTTTTTAACAGGTAAGGAAACTGACACTCAGAGAGAAGAAGTGATTTCAAAATCACACTGGTAGTCCTGTTAATTGGTGGCACGAGGACTCAACCATAGGCAGTCCAAAGCCAGAGGCTGTACAACAGTTAACAGCCCAGGAATTCACACAATTCTGAATCACCTAGAGTCCAGTATGGGAGACAGGGTGGACTGTTTCTCTAGACTCAGTGTGACAGGATACACAAGATCGTACAGTGGTTGACTGGCTCCTGGCATGAACTAGGAAAGCTTGGCTGTTGATAACTTTATTCCTGATCCATCACTGTCCCCTGGTGGTTTTCCTGGGAAACTCACAGGCCAAAGAAATACAAGGGTCTAGTGAAATTAGTGGGATAAAAATAACTGGATCATATCAATTATTTGCTCACAAGCACTTTGTATGAATGTTCCTTCCTTTTGCCCTGACCTAGTAATAGATGACCTAAGATCCAAGTTATTCAACTCAATTGCAAACGGGGTTGTAATCCCTGGCCATCTAAGAGCTGACTGCTAGTATACTGACTCAAAATAGATGGAAAAATATATACCCATGATTATACTTGTACTTTAAGGACAGGGAACTCCAAGATTTAATTAACGTAGCCACTACTTGCTACAACTTCATATTTCATCTTTAAGCTCCTAGGCTTTCGTCATGGCAGAGGGTTCCCAAAAGATCACCATGCCTCATCCTAACCTGTAATCCCTAACCCCACTACTGTCCTACCTGCCCTCCCCACCAAATTCAGTTCCTTCAACCTTTCAGGCACTATTATTCAACCAGGTGATGTTTACTTTCACTGCTTCTTTCAAGCACTTGGTGGCATAAGACTGTAAAATAAAGCAAAACAAGGCCATTTCATATAAAATAGATATGGTCTTACTGGGCAAAAAGGAGAAAAAAACTTTCTGAAAAAGTCACGTCTTCAGTGCACTCTGGGACCACGTAACTGGGAGACTGACTTCCATGGTTCTAGCAGAACGTACTCTGAAAGAGCAGAAGACCACAGCCCACATGCAGAAAACAAGACAAATGAGTTTTTATTTATTCAAGGGTACACTTCCAGGTGTAGAAAGAGGACATATGTTAAAAAAAAAAATTAAACATCTGTTAACCAAGTGCTGCATTTAATGAAAACCACCTAAGATAGAAAAAGAAACATAAGACAGCCACTGACAACCAGCCATCCAGAGCTGAGTTTCTCCCACAGAGCACCTCCTCTTCAACGAATCACTGGATACCATTGGAGAGCAAGTCACTGTTGTTGAAGCAGCAGAGCTGGAGGTGCTGTCAAGAGTCAGCAGACTCGTTGGCCAGATGCACTGAACTCAATGAGGCACTTGATGAGTAACCTGTGGATGTAATGTTCCAGCTCAATGGAAGCGTTTTGGAACCTTTCCTCCATTGTGAGGGCAATAACCCTAGGGCAAGTTATCGGACATCCCTAAGCAACCTCCTTCAGGTCCTGTCTGGCTGACCTTCCTTATTCCAACAGCAAAAACCAATGAAGACAGTTAAATCAACCCCTATAGTCCCACTCTCTCTTCTTTCCCTCAACCTTTTTTACAAAGGATATTACAAAGGCAACAGTTCTTAGCTCTCAGGAAATAGGGTCTTTGATGCTTTTACAGGCTGAGAGGCATAAAATAGCAGTCTTGAAATTCCTTTTATCTTACAGCACTGATTTAGTTTTAGGTGTGATTTATCCTCCAATTCTTTCCTCCCTCCACCCATGCCCTCTCAACCCCAGAGAGACATACGATCTGTACTGGGATTTCCCAGCAGAAAAGACTTTGGTTTCTATCATCCTGAAGTTGCCACTCCACCACCAGTTTTATCTGGAGAAAGAGAAAAATAATTGAGAAAAATGAAAATAGGACTTGACTTCTATCCATAATTGGCTTAACTATGAATCCTAGATGTAGTAGCAAACTTCCTAACTCCTCATACTTTTTTTCTTAAATCATGAAGGCTGCTTAGCATGTAGGCATAGCCTACAGCCTTAAAAGACTGTAATGAAATTATACTTACGATTTGATGCTAGCAGTACCATATACTAACTTGGTTAATTTATCAAATGTAATTTCTAAAGCATTCTTTTCTTAGATCAATGGCACATAAATGAAGTGGTATGGTTTAGATATTTGTCCCTTTGAAATTTCATGTTGAAATGTGACCTCCAATGTTGGAGGTGGGCCTAGTGGGAGGTATTGGATCATGGAGGCGAATCCCTCATGAATGGCTTAGCACCATCCCTTTGGTGATGAGTGAGTTCTCACTTAGTTCATGTGAGATCTGGCTGTTTAAAAGAATCTGGGACCTCCCTCTTTTCTTTTTTGCTCCAGTGCTGGCCTTGCAACATGCTGGCCCCGCTTTGCCTTCTGTCATAACAGCAAGCTTCCTGAGGCCTTACCAGAAGCAGGTGCTGGCACTATGCTTCATGTATAGCTTGGAGAACCGTAAGCTGATCAAACCTCTTTTCTTTATAAGTTACCCAGTCTTAGGTATTCCTTGATAGCAATGCAAATGCACTAACACATGAAGGCTTACATGAATAATTTTGCATTAAAGCAATTTCTCATGTATTTTGCAATCTGATCCAGCTTTTCCCCAATGTAACCATGAAGAGCAGAGAGTAAAAAAAAATTAGATTCTTAGGTATAAGGAAACTTTCTCGTTAGCTAGAAATGGGAATGTCAAAGCACAAAGGATGGCTCAGAGAAGTCTGTAGCTGTATGAATCGTTTTAAGGATGACAAACTTTTGTAGCAATATACTTTCAGTTAACGCCCTTAAACTGCTTTCTAATAATGTACTCCATCAGAAATTCCTGCCTTGACTTGTTACACTCATACCATGTGAGCCGTCCCGTCCCTTCCAATTCTTAATAACTCACTGACACTCTGCAGGTCCTTTCTTATGTGGACATTAGCTTACTTGTCACTAGTTACTACTTCTCTTTTATACTGTAACGTTTCTTCACAATGGAACATTTGAGTGGCAATGATACTCAGGTTCTTGAAATTTGCTTCATTTAGTGCTTCAAGAGTTTGAACTGTTTTTCAGATTAAATGTAGTTCATTTAACAGACAATAATTACCATATATTAAGAATCTACTACATATCAGGCTCTGACTAGTCACTGCATAGGTAACTGAGGTTGAAACATGCCCATGGTTACATGGATACTCTGCAAATTCATCTATAAATCTGTACCTCACCTCTAAGACCTCCAACATCCCTTCAGCAGAGACACCCTATATTTGAGGCTCTTTAGAATGTCCTTTAATTACTTACCTTTCCAAAAAAATAAATGGCCAGATATTGCTCCTAACTTCTATTTGATTTCCTTTCAAGAAATGTGGCTCTTTTTCTTCACGGAAAAAGGCTTTATTTCCTCTATTCTTACCAAAATTCATATCTTTAATACAGGTCCACTCCAGCAGGATCTACCTTACAAGTGCTTGGTAGAAAAAGAGGTAGGTACAGCAGGGGTGGGTCGGAAGTGAAGGTGGGGATTGGAGGGGAGAAAGGAGGGTGGAAAAAGCTACCTCTCTGCCATGGAGCTACCAAACTACTGTTCTATTGTTTTGTTAAGAGATTAATGGAGAAACCAGGATTTTCTAATGACAATGTTAAGATAACTTGGATCTTTAACTATTTGGTACCTGGCTAAAATCTTTTAACATTGCACAAACTTTGGAGTTATAAGACCCAGCTCAAAACCTGGGCTGTACTACTTCTTTGTGGAGTGGACTCTGTTCATATTGCATAACCTCAGAAGCACCAATTTCTTCAGCTGTAAAATAGAGATCAAATAATCTCTATATAGGATGGTCATGAGAACCAAATGAAATATGGTATATAAAAATGGCATCAGCTCTTACTGTAGAGCTGGAGCAGGAGCCACAGCTGAGAGCAGGGGGAGGAGCATGGGGAGGAGGAGAAGGGGAAGGATGAGGGGGAGGAAGAATGGGGGGGTGGGGGTAAGTGGGAGTGGGAGAGGAGGAGGAGGCGGCAGCACCCAGACTGGGGGATCGTCATTATTTAAACAGACCACATCATGCATGAGTACAAGGTAGTGGTCCTTGGTTCAGGAGGCACTGGGAAGTCTGCTCTGACGGTTGAGTTTGTTCAGGGAATTTTTGTTGAAAAATATGACCCAACGATAGAAGATCCCTACAGAAAGCAAGTTGAAGTCGATTGCCAACAGTGTATGCTTAAAATCCTAGATACTGCAGGGACAGAGCAATTCATGGTGATGAGGGATTTGTATATGAAGAATGCCCAAGGTTTTGCAGTATCATATTCTATTACAGCTCAGTCCACATTTAATGACTTACAGGGAACAGATTTTACTGGTTAGGGACACAGAAGATGTTCCAGTGATTTTTGTTGGCGATAAATGTGACCTGGAAGATGAGCGAGTAGTTGGCAAAGAACAGGGTCAGAATTTAGCAAGACGGTGGTGTAACTGTGCCATTTTAGGATCTTCTGCAAAGTCAAAGATCAACGTTAATGAGATATTTTACGACCTAGTCAGACAGATAAATAGGAAAACACCAATGGAAAAGAAGAAGCCTAAAAAGAAAACACGCCTGCTGCTCTAGGACCATAGTCAGCAGCAGCTCTCAGCCAGGTTGCAGGAATGGAGAACTATTGCCTAACTGGAAAATGCCAGCACTCCAGACTTCAAAAAATACATCTGAAGAGGCTTCTCCTATTTTATATATTATGGGAAAAATTTAGATCTTATATTGGTTCCCTGCACAAGTTCCCTGGAGAAAAAAAATTGCTCTGTGTACATCTCTTGGAAAATAAGACATAATAGATATGAAAATATACTTGGCTCTAATATGATTATGCAAAAGAGCATGGATGCATTTCAAATGTTAGATATTTGCTACTATAGTCAGATGATTTCATATTGACGTTTTTATCATGATTCCTCCCTATCAAGCACGAAAATGTTGAACAACTATACTTTATATCTGTAATGATATTGATTAGGATGTCCCCTCAAACTCATTGCAGCAGATAACTTTTTTTAGTCACTGGCTTCATTTTATATTAAAAAAATTATGGAATATCGGCCACGTGCAGTGGTTCACGCCTATAATCTCAGCACTTTGGGAGGCTGAGGCGGGCAAATCACGAGGTCAGGAGTTCAAGACCAGCCTGGCCAACATGGTGAAACTCCGACTGTACTAAAAATACAAAAATTAGCTGGGTATGGTGGCATGTGCCTGTAATCCCAGCTACTCCAGAGGCTGAGGCAGGAGAATTGCTTAAACCAGAACTGGAGAGGCAGAGACTGCAGTGAGCCGAGATTTCGCCACTGCACTCCAGCCTGGGATACAGAGTGAGACTCTGTTTCAAAAAAAAAAAAAAAATTATGGAATATTATCTGTCATTATACTCTAAAATTGTTTGTGCATAATGCTTTGGAGAAATGGGGTCTTTTATAGGAAAAAAAAAAAAGCTGGCATAACAGTTTTATGGCTTTCAAAGCTAAAATATGCAATAAACTAAACCAACTCTAATATTGCTTCTTGTGTTTTAATGACATTAAATTACAGCTTTTATGGATGATTAAATTTTAGTACATTTTCAAAAAAAAATGGCCTTATTATGCCCAGGCTAACCATCAGGTCATAGTGAAAGAACGAAGAGACACAGAGAAAAACATCTGCCCTACCTCCTGACACCTAACGCCCCAGCTATTTCCTGTCCCTCAGGCTTCCGGTTCTTTATCATAGAGATAAGGGGCCCTTTACCCTGTCTCTGCTTCTTGCCCGCTGCCCTCTGATCTCTAATCCAGTCCCAAGCCCTCTCCTGTGCTCAACAATGGTATCACTTACAGAGGGATATTCACTTTTCACTGGTAGTTTATTCAGGTAGCTATAGGTCTTGTCTTTTTGGATGGGGCAGTTAATGCCACTCTTACAGCCATCAG